TCCTGCTGAGCTCCCCAGCAAATCTCAATGTTTTGTTTGTAAAATTTCCTTTACAGTAGGATTTAGTCTCCAACTTCCCCACATGGGGAAAAGCATCACATTTTCAGCAATAACACTATAGAAAGTAATGCTTCTCAGTTCCATTGTTTCCATCCTATTTTGTTCCACGAGCCTCTCTCTTACAAGAACTTCTCAAGCTTCATAACATGACAAATACTTCACCTAGAAATGTTGTTCATGGATGAGATAATTGAAGCTTCCAAAAGCTTTCTTCTGCTCCTAGGTCTTGTTTCTGGACCACTGAAGTAATTTGAAGTTTTGCCAGTTAATTCAGTAAAAAGAGAATCTGGCAAAAATTATGAAGCAGACTGGTTCTCATTTTATTGAGAAACGACTAGATCAGTTTAGAATTATGGGACAAATATCTTTAGAATTTGTCATGTAAGTTTGGAGAAACTGTTTGAAAAAAACTTTCTAAAATCTCTTTGGATGAAACAGTACTTCTCTGGAAAAAGGGATGGTGAATGTGTCCTTTATAGTTGATGGTCCCTAAAAGAACCTCCAAAGCAGACCAGTGAGATTCAACTTTTCTGATTTGACCAAATTTCTAGCTATAGTCCTCCCTTCCATGGCACAGTATTTCCCCTGTCCCAAGGTCCTTCAAGGTTGCCAACTATCTTAGCTTAAACAGAACTGAAATGCGATGCTGTCTTCTGAGTAATGAACGCAGGAAAGAGCGATTCCTTCCAGCTGAGGAGTGATATTAATGTCTCTCCCAGTGCCAAAAGCTGCACTTTGATATACTATCTCTTAAGCCAATAGCTGCTTAGCTTAGCCCAGAAGTAGCAGAACAAGCATACTACATTTTAAGAAATTTTAAATAAAACTTAAATGGAGTATTTATCTCATGCTCTATTATTTCTGACATTTCATGGGCACTCTCCCACTGCTTAGACCTCTGGCTTAGACCTTGCATTTTCTGTTAATCCAAGAGGTGCCTTGTTTTTGTTTTAAAATACATTTTTGCCTAATGCTCAAAAAATTGAGTATGTGTAACGTTATAACACCCTCCCTCCCCTAAACAACTCCTCCCTTGTATTGATGTACCTCTTCATGGGAAGAATTAATTTTGTTCCAGATTTAGATTCATCCTAAGTGGAGCCTTTCAGTTATACCAGATTTTGTTGAAAGTGGTGAGTCTACATTACAGATCAATGCCCACTTTGGACTACTATATATTAAGTCAAATCAGCTACACTCTGGAAGGTTCTTCCTTTTGCCTCTTTACACAGAGGCTGCTATGAAAGTGTCCCAATTCTTTCCTAAAACTTTTGTGGTCCCTCCCTCTCTAAAAGGAGTGGGGCCGTAGTCCTACCTTTCTAGTCATAAGCAATAGAATTAGGTGGTTTCAGAGCAGGGTGTATGCTGCTCCTTTCTTGTCCTTATGTCCAAGCTACGAACTTGTATAAGGAATTTGTGACGGGGCCAGTTTAAAGCTGGATCTCAACTTTGGCCCTCCCACCTGTCTGTTTGGGGCAGTCTGCCCAACCTTGCCTGCCATGACTTGCTGTTAATAAGCTGGTGTAAAATGCAAGAGGCTGCCCATTTTAATGCCCCAATGCCAGGGGACATTGTATGCGACTCTGTACTGCCCCTGTATTGTGTCCCATGCCTCACAGATGGCATCATAAATAGATCATAACTGCAGCCTGAGGTTGGGCCAGCTCTGCCCCTGACTGGGCCTCACTCATTGGGCTCAGTGCCCTCATTCACACTGGGCTCCTTGCCTCTCACTGGGCTCCATGCCCCACGCTAGGCTCCATGCCCTTTTCCAGACTCTGGGCTCCTTGTCCCACTCTGGACCCCCTTGGTCCTGGTGGCCTCCTTGCCAGGTTACCCCCCAGATTGTGGGGGCTAGGGTTATAAGGTGCCCCTCCCTGCCTTTCACTGGGGAGGCAACTGACCTGGCATTTCTGGGGAGCTACCCCACCACAGGCAGCCCCACCAGGCCATCCTTCCTTAGCAGGGTGCAGTTTTCAGTCGTACCCAGGACCAGGAGCCTCCTGCTATCCCCATAGCTCCTGACCTTGCCTCTAAGATGTTCCAAGTAGCAGCTCAGTCAGGTGATGTTTCTTTGGCTGCCAGCAACAGACTGCTGCCTCAGTCCTGAGATCCTGGATCTAAAATGGAGGCAGGTCAGGCCTCTCCTCCTATCCTAGGGCTCTGCTGTAATCATGTGACTGCCTCATTAGGGAAAGCCCACACCTGCTGGCCACCCTGCTGCCTGGTCTCAAACCTTAAAGTGGCAGGCACCAAATGCCCTGCCACAGAACTCTTATAGTATCTCCCTAATTCAGAGGGGTTTCTGAAGATAAGTACATCAAAGAGTTTTTAGGCACTTGATACTATGGTAATGGTAACTATATTCAGTTCTTAAATACTTAGGATCAATAAAGAATTCTTTCTGAGGCCCTAGGTGCAATAAGTATCCCTTCATCCATTCCCTTGTTTTGTTTTGTTTTGTTTTTACTTCATGCCCTTTATTCCCTTCTCTGTATTTTACAGAACGGGTTTTTTTTTTCCTTAATTTTCATACTGCTATGTTTGTGGACACATTTTGGTCCTACTAAAACCCACTGGGTGTTGAACTATGGTGCTAAGTTGCTATGTAAATGGTAGATTTATTGGTTTTAATCAGATAATCTAATTCTTATTTTACCATGCCACTTCAGTTATGCTTTAAAAATGAACTGTTCACAATCCATAACAATACTAATATAATTTTTACTGTGGAAATGTGCAGGTTTCTGTGATGGAAACTCAGAAAATGACCTGATGCTACCCAACAAGGCAGTTCTAAATAAAACTGATGCTCCATCAATTTTTATGGACAGCTGGCAGGTGCCAGGCACGTTAATGTATATTGGAGAAGACAGACATCAGGACAGTAATTGTTCAGTCATGGACTGCTCTGAGTGTTTAAGTCTTGTGCTGAACCAGACTTTCAGCAGGTGTCATCCTTATGTATGTTTACTTTCCTTTAGCTTTATTATTTGAGACAGATTTAATTTTCAATTAATTTAATTTTTTGTCACATTATTTGTTGTGTAACTACATAAAATGCATTATTAATTTCATGAATGGTACATGTCCATTCTAGTATATTTCTCAATTAATTGTGGACTTGAATATTAACTGAAGAATGCAGCTGAAACATGATATTGGTGATATATTTAACTAATAGTTGATGTTTGTCATATAGGTGTAATAACAACACCTTTGTCTTCTTGCTCTGTAAAGCAAACTTAAATACAGGTATAACAATTAAAAGTGGCCCACTTAAGGATTCAAATAGATCAAAGTAGATTAATAGATTCAATGCTAAAAGTGAAGGTGGAGAGAGCATGACAGTAAATGTGAATCTCAAAAGGATTAGCCTTAAAATAAAATATATAACTGAAGTGAAAGAGAAAAAACTCTAAATACTTTTTAAATGTGGGGATAAATGAATTGAGAGAGATTTCATTGGAAAGAAAGCAGGCTACAACTTAGAACCCACCACGGCAATGGCACAATTTTGTTTGTGTATTTAATCTATTGGTGTTAATTTGCAAAGTGGCCTTTGCTATAGCATCCATCTGTATGGTGACCCAACATAGGGAGATCGTTGATTCTTCAGTGGTCTAATGGTGTGAGTGATCCTACATGATGCCATGACCTAAACATTAAATGGTTTTAATGACCAAGAGTTCTATCTTACAATCAGTCATTATCTAGGCTGAAAGTTTAAAGATCACTCATGAAAAAATGTGCCGTTGTATTCTGACAGAACTTCAGGCTATGGACAAGTACAATAATGGATCCTTGTTGAGAGAGGTGTTTTCTTACTGTGAAGTTGTAGTGGGATAAATAATTATATGAGGAAAAGTTTTTAAAAAGCTCTGATTCCCATTTTGAAAAGTGATTAGGAGCTTAAGGGACTAAACACTTGATACTTTTACATCAGTGTAACTTTTGAGTACAGCAACATAAGTAAAAGAGTGGAAATAATAAATGTAAGAATGTAATTTACTGGCATCTGGTGCAGAGCTTTCCTGGAATAAAACTATACTAGAAGAGGTTATAATTGTGGAGGTATCATGTATCCACTTCTTGGGATAGGTGTTGGTTCAGTGCAAATAAACTCCTAGCCATTTAATGCGAAGGAGCTGTAGTTGTACTTACTGTGGTACAAATGGGAGAACTCTGATAGTCTGTCCAGATAATGGTGTAATTTTCATCAATATACAAGAAAAAAAGTATGCTCATGAGTGTTAATAAGGCTTATATTTGTGCCCTCAGTCCTGCTGCCTTCTCTTGAGCTTTTCAGCATATCTTTACCATTAATTTACCATGCCAGGAGGCAGCATGGCAACATATGCCTTGCTTTCCTATATGCAGTGTCTCCAGAACCAGAAGTAGTGTAGTTACATTCACATAGAACTAATTATCTTCACCCAGCTAATTATCTTTGTTCCTCAGCAAAGCTAATTGGTTTACCTGCAGTGCTGCGCTAAGTTATTTTGATTCCTTCTGGTTTGGTGACTAGCATGAGCAGATCAGTGCAGCATGTTTCACTATAGGTGCTGCATGGCCATGTTTGAAGAGTTGTTCAGGCATGATTTTAGATGTCTGTGAATATGGAACTTAGGGGCTTTTGAAAATGTTATGCATCAACTGTGCAAATTGTACAGTTTTAACACACATTCAGCGCACACAGTTAACATAATTATCCATTCCACCTTGGCTGAGTTTTCCATTATGGGAGCCAAGGAGACCTGATAAAGGAACAAATCCTAACATTACATGAAAAAGTTCATTAGCATAATTTTACTCCACCTTGTGCTCTCTAGCAATTCACTTGAAGTTTCACTGTTGTAAAGGTGGAGGAACATAGTGACTGATCGATCATACTGTGGACCTCAGGCCTACTAGTTTTGAATATTCTCCATTATCCAATTATCTGTACCAGTGGTGCCCAACCTACCTGGGCTGGAGGTCGAATGAGTGCTACAGGTTTGGTCAGCAGGCCGGATCTAGTGCATAGGATTGACTTGGCTTCGTGCATTTCAGATTGAACCCACTGCCCTGGTCCTGGCTCCATGCATGCCAGATTGGGCCTACTGTCTGTCCTGTATGCATCAAATCAGGTTTGCCACCCTGGTCTCACATGTTGGCCCAGTCCAACACAAGGGGCCATATCATCTGGCCACAGGGCTTGGAAATTTGGTAGCTGGGGAGTGATAGCAGTGTTAATTGCCACAAATTTCCACAGGATCCTCTGCTGCCAAATTTCCAGATGTTGGGTGAGCCTCCACAGGCTAGATCAGGCCCAAGGGCTAGAGGTTGAACACCACTGTTCTATGCCATAATAGCCCAATTGGAACCTCCCTAAAACAAACAACAGACAAATATATACAGTACAGGTTATTTAACAAACCCTGACAGAAAAATTATTTACAAGTTAGAAACATTTTGGGAATTTAACTTGCACGCTGATTGGTAGTCAAATGTGTAGAATCTGCCTTTTCTACAAGATGCTTTTTTATATTAATAAGCCTAAACTCTCTCTCAAGCCTCCAGGGGCGGGCACCAAAACTAACCCCTGCTTCAAAGTTCTGACAATATCTGGACAGGAAATAGGTAGTCAAAGTTAGAGGAGAGGTCAGTATCTTAAAGAAAATATAGAGCAAAAGGAATAACAATGGAATGGAGCACATCATGACAAAAATGCTTGTGCCTTCCACTAGGAAAAATAATAATAGCTTTTACAGTCAGTATTTCTAATAATTTGGGTCATAATCTGGTGCCTTGCTGTTAGATGCCCCTTGAAAATAAGGTTGCAGTATTGTAGCCATTATGGCTCAGGGAATATTTGAAAAGCAAGGTGTTTTTTTTTTTAATAAAATCTTTTATTGGACCAGCTGTGTTGTTGGAAGAGCTGTTAAATAAGCTTTCCTCTGGTCTTGACTGAAAGGAAATGTATGCCTGAAAGGTGATCTGACATCTCTCCTAACTACATAGTTGGTTCAAAAAAAATATCACCAATAATAAGTCCTTTTCATAAAATCAGAAAATGTAATGGCACAGTGCTTGCTTTGATTGTGCTTGCTTTGAGTCTTATCCTCTGGGCTTGTGATTTCCCTGTTCTTAACTCTATAGCAGTATACTAGATCCCTGAAGTTATGGACCCATTCACTGTATAATGACTGTATAAAAGTATATACTTGCTTTGCAGCATTAAGTCATTTACTTTTTTATTAGGTTCCACCTGAATTATTCTGTGATCTCTGGGTCCAGGATGTGGAATACATTCAAAATCCATGTGTAGCACAAGCTGCCTACGTAGCCATGTGTAACAAATTTAATATCTGCATAGAATGGAGAAGCTCGGATTACTGCCGTAAGTACTGTGTACCAAGGTATACTGCATGCACTGAAGGGATTAAGATTGCCAGACCACAGTGCCCAGCAAATTGAAGCTAATCCAGCTGGTTTTAGCTTGGTGTGCTCATAGGAGTATATCCCATAAATTGGTCTGACTTTTTTGTGCCAACACATACACTTGGATCAAAAGCCTAGTTCAAAAAGTAACCAAATTTTTTTTTATTAATGTATTTTGTGTTCTAGGTTAAATCAGCCAAATCAGTTCCAAATCATATCAGTTGAGTAGAACTCAGTTATTCCAAAAAACCATATCAACTGAGTAGGCAGAATTCAATCATTCTAAAGACCATGTATGGCACTACAACCAGTGAGCATCCTCCACCCCAGGCTCTCACCCTGGGACTTCAAATGCTTCCAAATCCATTGGCAGGCATTCTACGTGCAGGCCAAACCCAAAGGTCTTGGGATTCAGATGCCCTCACTAAGACATTTGATCTGAGCCAAAAGTAACCAGATGCTGAGGTGACGGGAAATAATAAAATCTCTCTTATATAACACTTATCATAACCAGTACATCTCAGTGCACTTTAAAATGGAGGTGAGCATTATTGTACCTAGTTTACAGATCAGGAAACTGAGGCATGGCAATGGGAAAGTGCTTTTTTAAACACCTGTTCCTTGTCTTCCACTGAAAAAGAGATAATAACATTTATTTGAGTACACAGATTTGTGTTTGCCTGGAACATGTGTTCAAAACAGGACTGTCCCAGCAAAAATGGGACATATGGTCACCCTCAGTACTACAGAAATGTAGTACTAAAAACAGTGGTGACGCATAGAGGGTGCATGTGCACTGGTGCACCCCCTGACAGGCAGTGTTCCCCACTTAGGCAATGGGCACAGGAGGCAGGCAACAGCACTGGTGCCTCCCCTGAGAGCGCCGGCCGGACAGTGGGGGCGCCAGGAGAAGTGATCCCCGTGGTGCCCCTGCAGCCGATTGTGGTGACCAGGGGCCACAGTGAGATTGACCGTGGGGGAACCCCCCTGGTTGCTGAATGGTCAGTGGGGGGGGGGGGGGGGGGCGCGCCCCCCCCCCCCCCCACTCAGGAGGCACCAGCTGCCCATGACTAAAAATATGGTCTATGTTTACCAAAACAAATAAACTGTTGAGATCAAAACACTCACAGATCTGAGCTGTACATGGAGAAGGCATGAACCAAAAAGAATGATAAAAGAGAAAGGAAACCTAAGTCAAGGAAGAGAAATAGTTGTCCATGGCTCCAATGGCTGCTTGAAAAGTGAGAGACTTATGGGTGAAACCAGCTCAGTAATTAAGAAAACTAAATATGACTGTCCTTACATAGGAAAAGTATGTGTGCATAGATCAGATAAAAAGCCTTCATGCAGGAGTGCATAATATTTTTGTTAAAGAAACAGTCATTGTAAACAAGTAAGATACAGTAATTTTGATACTTACATCACCTAATATTGATAATACTTGCAAATCATTATTTTTAAAATGGAGCTTACAAGTAAAGTTCCTGGAAATGTGTTCGTGACATGTTGATGACTTTTGAAGATAGGCATTGCCCTGTTCCTTTGCTATACCACAGTGACCTCTGCTGGCATTTATATATGAAAGGCAAAAACCTTGAAGTCGCTTCTGTTTTCTGATCACTGGGCATAGATGTGTTGCGACAGTATGTTAAGAGCCCAGATTCCTCTGACTATGGGGGTGTACTGTTTTTTCCTGTGGAACATCATGACTGTTTAGTAGTAATTAGTTAAGTAAGATCAACTCCTTCTCCTAACTAGCTCTCATGGTATTTGTCTTAATTAAAGCCTTCCCATTCTTGAGCAGGTGCTCCCTGTGAGAACTGAGCTTTGACCTCCCCTTATTGCCATCATTCCAGATCACATATCTCTGAGTCACTTGGGCATCATTGTATCCTCGGACAGACTAAGCATGCAGTACTCACACGAGATATTTGCAGAGCCATAGTGCATATACATATGCAGGCTATATAATATATGCACGTCTACCATTTAATACCCTCATCATCCATAGATTCTTCAGGATACCTGTCTGCACAGTAGTCATAGATATCACTAGAGTAAAGAGACTGATCATTACTAAAAACAAACAGTCTCTCCCTCTAAATCCATGTTACTGGCTGCAGCATTCTGGCCATAAATGTTCTCTATTTATGGGTTACCACAGATAGACCTGTGAAGAGCTGTGTGAAAGAGTGAAAACTTTCTATGCCTATCATGAAGCATCAGCTAAGCCAGAACATGGTTTTGGGTTGTAAGTGAAAATGGAAGACTTGAGGGTTTTGAAGCATGAAAGGGCTGATTTCTATCATCTGAGGATCACAACGGACTGCATCAAAGCCAGATATTGTAATCTAGGGACTGGATATTCTTATTTCAACCTGTTTCCATGCATATGCCTCATGTAAATATATGTACAGGTGCTAGAAAAATATGGAAATGTACAGTTTGTAGTGAATACAAAAGACAGTACCAATGTTCATCATTCAAAGCAATAATTACTTTTAGTAACTACTAAATACAGCAATTTATGAATCCCATTTTTTATTATTTCCAAAAAAATGCTAAGCATAGAGGTTGCCCACATACTCCAGTAATGTGTATATTTACCATTTTCTCTGGCAACTATTTAAACTATTACCAAAATTCTATGTAAGGATCAACACGCTTATATATTTTTATTTTCAGATCTGAACTGTTCTTAAAGGAGGAGAACCTGTGTGGTGGGAAACATTCTCTGCCCCTCCAAAACATTTTCTGTTACCTGGAGTAATAGGAAGAGAAAGAAGTTATATAGTATTTGCAGAATTTGCTGTTGACAGTTCTACATGGATTTATTGATTGCATCTGTATGCTAATCAATACGTATCAGTGCAATGTATGGAATATGAAACAAAGTTAGCATAGTACTCTTTGTTTAATTATTGACCAGATAGTAAGCATTCAGGCTATACATGTTCACAGTGATGGTCTATTTTAAGTGCTCTATTTATTTCTTTGCTAGCCTTTTCCTGCTCCGAAAACTTCTCCTACCAGGCTTGCATACCTGCCTGTGATGTTCCAAGTACTTGCCAGAATAGTGAGCCTGTTCCTTGGGATTCAGAATTGTGCTTGGTGCTAACTGAGGGTTGTGTCTGTGCTGAAGGGAACATCCTACACCGTGCTCATTCTGCTCTCTGTATTCCAGAGGAGAAATGCGGTATGTGTTGATTTGCCTTTTATATTTCTTGTCTGCCAAGGGATGACTAGATTCTTGAATAGATCTTCCTAACTGGTGGAGTTCTGGATCTCACTGTTGGAGCTGATGCTTGGTGGTTTCTGCATATGATTTAAACTGAAACTCTGGTGAGGACACTTAACAGTTGCTCTATTGGGTAAACCAGCAAAGTGGCTCCATCTCATTTAAACTCAGCTGGAAGGTAGTCTTGCAGAAGGTCCTTTTTTACCTAGCTTTACATATGGAATATTTCAGCCCCACATCCTTCAATAGAATCTTTTCAGCTGGAGTCTTCGCTGGAATGGATCCAGGACAGATAGCTACTCAGGATAGGCTCTCTAATGAGGAATCTCATGAACTATAAACATTTTGCATTCTGTATATAGCATTGAATATGTAAAGCAAATTACCTGATTATTTGCATGTTAGATTTTTCTCTGTTACATTTTCAGCCTAGCTCTGTTAAGGAGTCCGTTTTGCTAATGCTAAAACTGCATACAAAATGCATACAGTAGCCATAACACCTTCCTTATTAATTTAGAATAGTTAGGTGAATGTGCCATTTTTATTCCATAGGCAGACAAGGTTCTTTGCATAAATCTGATATCTTTTATTAGACCAACTGAGATAGTTGGAAAAATTCTTTTTTGCAAGCTTTTGGTTATAAATACCCTTTGTCAGGCTGAGGAAGCATTGGTCTGATAAAAGATATCAGATTTACCCAAAGAACCTTGTCTGTCTATGTCCTTAGACTAACACGGCTACAACCTATACCCCTGTATTTTTATTCTGTGGCATTGTCGTGATTTGTCACTGCAATTGTCACTATAATGCCTGTCTGCACAGTCCTAAATCAGGATTTAATCATGCTGGATTCTGTAGAAACATCAGAGATGTCGTTTATAATATCAGGTTATATGAACTATGAAAAATGTAAAATTGTTTTGTCATCAGCATACCATCTGTGATGGTAGCTCATTTTTGTATCAGTGCATCCAGTGCAAAAGGTCAGACTATGGCTTTGTGCAGAATCAAGCGAAGGTAGTCATGCAGTAAGAATTGCTGGGGGAATTATGGCCAATTTAGGAGTGTTCTGTAGGGGCAGTTTCAATGCCTATCTTTCCACCCCTCTTTTTATTTGAATGCATCCTTTTGCTTTCATTCCAGGTGGTGAGCACAAAACAGTGGTGTTAGCCTAGACTTTGGTCCCTAACACACATTACACTTAAGATGTGTTTAATTAGTTAATCATGTCTTAGGTAGTGACCTGGCCATGTGCTCATTCAGGTAGTGGCTTGATAGAAACAGGAATAAGTAACAAAGTTAGTACACAAAATATGTGTACTTTGTTGCTGGTTCCTGTCATGCCTTTAATTGAAAGTGTGGCTATTACTCACAGCTTCTGGAGCATACTCCCATGCTCCAGAGGCTGGGAGCACTGGGTAGCTGTTAGAGGGTCCCAGCTGGGGGAGCACAGCAATCTGTCGTGCTCAGAGTACATGGTACACCTCCATGACTAGGAGCCTTGTCAGTGTTTGTAGCTCCCAGCTGTGGGGGCGCACTCTGCATTAACTGACGGGAATGAAGATTGCTGGTGCAGGGGGAATAACAGGACCAGAATCCCCATGCACCTCTAATATGGTGTGATGAAATCTGATACCTGATTCCACAATCACATCTCCAGCTGTGCATGTGTGGCATGGTAGGAGGGTGATTGTTGGGATTGTGCATCACACCTTCTTTTTAACATCTGCCTTTGGCCTTAAAGACTGTTATAGTTTATAATTACACACCTGTTGCAAAGCAAGTATAAAGAGGTGTACCCATTTGAAGTCACAATAAAATATTTTCTTCTACCACAATAATATAGCCTGTACAGACAGTTCAGGAGCACCCCGTGCAATGGGTGAGATTTGGAAGACCTCTCTGAGTGGATGCTGCATGCACAAATGTGTTGACAATGAAACCATTATTCCTGTGGAACACAACTGCTCACATGTTCATGATCTGGAATGTCAGCGCTTTGGGGAGCTAGCCCTGATTGTTCCCAATGATGACACATGTTGTCCTGAGAAGATGTGTAGTAAGTATACTTAACAGTATATGAAATTTTGTTCCTGGCATATGCAGCTTCTTTTATTATATGGCTTGCTTCTGTACTGGCCTGGTAGGGAGGACTTCTTTTCTGGTTGTTTGGACTTATTAATTTAATGTGAATTGAAGTTTGTGTCTGCTCCTTTCAGTGTCAGTTGAACTTGTAACAATTGCTAGAAACAACTGGAGCCTACAGATACTTTAATGCCAGAGTTTCCAACTTGGCCAGATCTGGGCCATGGGGTTCCTTGTGGACCAGTTCCAAAATGCAGAGGTCTTTGTGGGCTGATTCTGGACCTACCTCCAGTGGCTGGGCAAGCAGCTCCTGCATCCATGGGGGTTAACACTGCCATCACTCATCCTGTCACTGCTGAAATGAGTCCCCAACAGGACTCTATACTTGAGAATTTGGTGGCAGGATGAGTGGTGGAGGCATTAAGTCCTGCCATTCCCTGAGCTGCTGTGTCATTTCAAGGAGTCACCAGGAGTTAAAGCTGCTGCTGCTTGCCCCAGTGGTGATTTCCAGCCCCTCCAGAAACCCTGTAGACTGGCTGACATGGCTCCCCACAGGCCAAATCTAGCATGCAGGCTGTGTGTTTGATGCCCCTGCTTTGATATATTCAAATACAGATGAGTCAATAAAAGTAATCCCTTATTTACTAGAAAAGTAACTTACGTAATTGGTTATCTTCTTTGCAAAGCAAAATAGCATAAAATCCAGAATTTAATAACCCCCCTTTCTATCTATACTTAGCTAGAAGATTCATTTTTTGAATGAAAAAGTTGCAAGTTTGTTTATTTTCTAGCCATTGACAAAGATATTGGATAGATGCAATGAACTCCCCACAGGGAGTGGATTTTTCAGTTGGAATTTTCACAAGTATTTAGCTCTGACTTTAGCTTACTTTGCTTCCACTGGGCACTTTAAACAAATCCCGCCATTAGCTTTTATTTATTTATTTATTTTTTGCATGTGCTTGTTTTCATTTGGGGAATGTTAATGATGAACTACAATCGCAGTTTGATGTTTTTCCGCTTAATATCTCTTACCTCTATTGAAAATTGTAGAAGTTCATAATTTCTTTTTTTCTTGTATGCATATTTCTTTTAAGTTTGCAATATGAGCCTTTGTGAACCATTAATCCCTGAATGTAAAGTCTTGGAAAAGCTGGTCACTTATTACCAGGAAGATTCCTGTTGTCCGAACTACACTTGTGGTAGGTACCTTTTAAACCACCCCCCCCCCCCCCCCCCAACTATTTTTTTTTCACCAAAATTTCTGTTTAATAAAAGCATATAGATCAGAAGGTCTCACTGAACTTCACTGTGAACAGGTAGTGGCAAAACTAGCCCATTTTCAAAATGAATCAGGTTTCATAGGAAAACATATCAGTGCCGACTTCATTACTAATATGTCTATGCATAGGACTCACTTTCACTTAGAAGCTTGGGGATCACGAGGAAGGATTTCTGGAGGGTGCCTATACACATGCAGCAAGGCTTTTCCGATGCACTGTAATTACATAATTAATCAAGTCTGTTGGAGCGCTCCAGCAGACTCCAGTGTCATGTGTATCAGCATCCTCATGCTGAAAAATGGCGCTGGGAGCACTTTAAAACAAGTTAAAGCATCCCTGTTTTTCAGCGCGGGGACGTTGATACACGAGACACTCTGGGCACTTTTAATTATGGTGGTTTCCAGAGCCACTCTAATTAATGCACACCCTCCTCCAGAGCATGTGTATAAATACCCCATGATTCTGCAGTGCTTTGGCAAGTGAGGCTTCTATGTCAGGACTAAGCAGAAATGGGACCTAGCTCTGTGGAGTGCTGAGTAAAGGGACTCACTAATGTTCCTGTTGTGGTCTTCCACCTTAAAGGGTTATATCCCAGTGGTTTGAGGCCTGCTATACCCATTGTCACCTGTGTGCTTTCTGGTATTTGGAAGCCAACACTGAGTCTGATACGCACAGATCCTTTTTTTGGCCCATAAGAAAAAGTGTTGATAAGTGTATTAACATCAGCCTCTTTTGAGCCATTCTGTGTATGACTGTCCTGAATAGGCTAGATGGCTCATAGACCTTAACTCAAGTGTATCAGTTCTGCTTTTCTCCTCCAAGTCTTAGGTAAGGAGACACAGAAGTTGCCCCATAGGGATAGTTGCTCTCCCTATCCCTCTGCTTTCTGCATTTGAATGGCATGATCTATATGCTTGCTTATCTTCTTGTGTGATATGTTTATTTGAAGGAATGAGGATGAACATTTATGATTCTGGTTTTGAGAACGGCTAGGCTTTGCTTGTTTTGTGGCTTCTTTCTCCTCTACTCTCATGCTGCAGGTAGAGTACTGTATTTCTGCCAGACACAGACACTACAAAAATCAAATAATATTACACTTGTTTTAGAATGTGATCCAGCAAAGTGTGCATCAATGGAACAGATTCCAAACTGCCGGGAAGACCAAACCTTGATTGCCGCTCGCGTGGAGAGCACCTGCTGTCTATCATATATATGCGGTATGCTATCTTTGCTTGCTTATTTAGAATGGGCATGTTAGCACTAAGGGCTACAGCGAGGGGAGCCACACAACTGTGTAAGGCCTGTAAGGAGCAGTTGTATACTGAGTGCAAAGGACAGGGGAAATGACAGCTATTACTCTAAAGGGAGAAGCAGGAGAGTGATTATGCTAGGGATTGCATGATATTGGAATAAAGCTGGAGATTCCAGCAGAAGGGAAGTGAGGAAAGGCAAGAACAGTAGCTGAACAATGTGTAATTACAGGCAGTTTTATAATAGAAGTTATGGGGTCATCAAAAACTTCCAAACCGATCCTCCTCTAACATCACAAACCACAAAGCAGTCCTAACACTCTGTAACTGACTTAGGTCTTCAGTACAAAATCCTAAAGGCCTCAGAAACTATGCTGTGCAGCAGGAACAGTTGAGACCCTGGGCAATGGTAGGAAATTTATTAGATAAAATTGCCCATATGATTCTAGGAAGTAGATGGAGCATGTGTAAAAGTGCCCTGTGTTTTGACTACATGGCTTTCAGTGGAGCACAGACTGAATCTTCCTGAACTGGTATCTTAAGTTCAAAGCATTTAAGGAAAATGGAAGTATATTTTCACTGTTAGCAGCCTTTTGTGGGCACTCTGTTAACATGGAAATGCTGTGCTGACTTTGGGTCTTTTCTCTGTCTCAGGCTCCTGGCTTTCTCCCTGTGGTTTAAATTGTGAACCTTTACACTGAAAGCACCTGTGATTCCAAAATTTCAGGATTACAGCTTTGTTGTAAATTCAAATGGGAGAATAAAACAAGTGTAAAGGGAAAAGCCTCTTGTAGGAGCCGAAGTCAGAGCTCAGGCAGAGTAAAGGTGTTATAAGACACCAGTGTGTGGCAGTCTCATAACATAATAGAAAAAGAAACAGAGTTTGAGGTTTAGCCAGAGTGAGCAGAATAGCCTTCCCAAAGGTGTCCACTGCCCTTTGTCTCATAAGTAACCAAGATAGTTATTCCATGTAAAAAGGGAAGGGAAAGCTGATCTAAAATTGATCCCCTGTTCTCTAGAGGCCATGCAGTTCCCTCCTCAGGCACCTAGGACAAACATGAATAGCTGTGCATCCTATATAATGAAAACATAATCAGTTTTCTTCTAAGGCTTAGATTTTAATATTTGTTTCCTTCAGCATGCGGGGCTTGCTCTGATCAAATTCCAAAATGTCAGGAAGGAGAAATGCTTGTTGTAGATGGCAACACTACAGATAGATGTTGTCCTGCATATCAATGCGGTAGGTTGACTTCATTATTTTTCTTCAGACTTCATTTAAGGTAGCAGAGACACTGCTTGGGATTTCACCCTCATAAATATCCAGTGTTAAATAGGTTAGATTATATGCACAACTGGAGCGGGGTATCTAATCTATTATCTATGGCCAAGCATGCAATCTTTATTGTTGAATACTTCATGTTCGTGAGACAATATTGAAACATCTATCTCATGACCAGATATAGATAATTCCTGACACATAATCCAGGAGATTAATCAAGATTAGCGCTATGAATTTCAAAACTAGTTCAAATATATCAATATTAAGAGCAATTATATTGCATATTTTTATTACACGTTACTTAACATTGCATTTGTGGTCACCAATTTTACAAGCTAGGTGCTCTCTAGAGTTTTTAATAAGTGAGCTTTCTACTTCCTATTGTTTCATGTTTCTCTGTATCAAAAATTTATTCAGAACCATGAGCTGATTGCATTTTCTTTACCTTGGTTTTAGTTTGTGAAATTTATCGCTGTCCAGATTTCAAATGTGTGTTGGGGATGTCTTTGGTAGAAGTATGGAGTCCAGAAAAGTGCTGCCCATATCGTACATGTGGTAATGTATTCAATTTTCATTTAACTTATTTTCAATCTGAAGAAGCTGACAAGATATGTGGTGTCTTAGTGTGAAGGCTACCACGTTGTCCAAGATACGGAGTGTGGTTCTGCACTGTAACACAGTATATAGTATTATACTTATCCAGGGAGCAGGCCATTTTGAGGATGTCTCCCACAGACACCTACTGATGAGCAGATGGAATAGAGTATCCATGAAGGAATCTCTTACTGTCTGTGAACTTTTCTGTCTATGGAGAGACCATAAAATGATGCTACATACTTGCAGAGCAATTTGGGGGAACTTGCAGTATTAACAGTTCACTCTTTCTGTTTAGGATGCATAAATAATGTTTTAAAGGTTTTAAAATTATAAGTAGATGTTTTAATACTTAAAAAATTCTTGTACAGTGTTACTGCACCCAACAAATAGATTGCTTGCGAACATCTATAACACCTTCTTATGAGCATCTAAATTTCTATAGCATTTTACTCATTCCTGTAACATACCTCTAACAAGAACGTAATAATTCTTACCCTTTATACAAATACCTTAAATACGAAGTGGGATCTGTTAACCTCTTGATCACTGAATTATGCAAAGGTTGCTTACCAAGGTGGCAAGATATCACCTTTATCTACAAAATGTCTTGAGCTCAGTTCTCTGTTGTCTGGTACCTGATATAATAATTTACATCAGGTGTCACTTGGCCAAGGCAAAGTGAGTAGATGTCTGAATTTTCATAACAGGTGATAACACCAGACTTATATAGAAGTTTGTCATTACAGGGAGAATGTGGTCTATGAAATTAGGATTGGAATTCAGGGTGGAACAGAAAATTTACTACAGTTTTGTACCCAGATCATGAGACATCATCTGTACTGATCATTTGGGAAATGGGGTTTCTGATCATTGACACTGTTTTCATGTGAGTGCCAGGACAGTGTTCTGAATCATAATTTCTGTTGTGCTTTGTTTTAGAATGTGCGTGTGACATAATCGCTAAACCTGAGTGCAAACTGGTATGGAACTCTTCTAATTAAAATATATTATTTTACCATTTTCTCATTGAAACCTATTTAAAAGGTCAGGGAACTGTGAACTTTTTTGTCTTTTCCTCTTTTAAAATTGCTTTAGAGCAGTGATTCCCATGAGATCCTTGCCAGGGGGTCATGGGTTGGCGGGGGGGGG